TTGGCAAGTAAACATGAAGAAGGAAAGTCAGTGTGTGCACACGTCCTAGGGATAAAGTCACACATTGATAGGTTAAGAATGTTGGGATCCATTGTCTGTGAGGAGCTGGCTGTTGACTGGGTTCTTCAGTCACTTCCTGACTCATATAGTGAGTTCGTAAGAGAGTACTATATGATGAACCACGACGTAACCCTCATCGATCTCACCTACATGCTTATTGCTGCTGAATCAGCAATGATTTGGCGCAATGAAAAAGCAAAGTTGATTGGTGAATCTGCCTTCCAGACCTCTATGGATATAGGCAACGGCAACGAAAGGCATGCCATGATCAAAAGGTTTGATCATAAGAGAAAGGCAAAGTCTGAAGTAGTTCCATGTGCTATTCCAAAAGAGTCAATTTGCTTTTATTGCCAAGAGAAGGGGCATTGGAGACGAAGTGGCCTTATTTACCTAAGAGATCTAAGAGATGGGAGAGTCAAAACGTATGGCTCTACTTTAGGTAAAATCCATTAACTAACTCTTTTAAGTTCCTAATACATGATGTGATGAGATTACATTTGATGTTTTGTCGAAGAAAAGAGAGGAAGCTTAAGGGAAGAAGTGAGCGGAATCTAACCGTGAAGAAATGGATTTCGATCGCATTACTTGAAGATTAGATCTTGAGCTACTACTTGGAGTTAGAATAGATTGCTAAGAAATATTATTAGCATAGTTTTTCAATGAATTGCATTGTAAGGATAAATTTTTTCGCAATAAAATAAATTTTGATTTTATATTATTTATTTATCCTTGCAATGGCGTGTATGAAAAATTGATGTTTGAATGTTTCTATTATTAGCAATAATGGATTTGATTCTTAATTATGTTTTTGTGGAAATGTCAAGAATTTACCAAATAGGGAGAGTTTCTCATCGCCCAGGTTTCAAGTGGATAGAAACTTGGAATCATACAACTTGGTTGCATGATGAATGAGAAATTTCATATTTGGAAATTAGACTAATTCATTGACAAAGTGTCAAGTGAAGGACTAGGAGATCGAGTACACAAGGTTGTGTGCTGATCAAGTCCACCACAAGAGTAACAAAGATATTCGTCATGATTTACTAAGGTTAATTAAATATGATTATACTTATGAGATTAAGTGTAATTCTCAATTGATTGAAAGAGTTTCAATAAATAGCAGAACGAATAAGAAGAATCAAGTAGGCAGAAAGATAAAAGTTTCTCTATCCTAAGAAGAAGGGAGAGTACCTTTTTATTATGTTTTATGATAGGTCTTAATGATTAAGAACCATATCTCAATTGATCCTCTAAGTGAGTCTTAAGTGCAATTGTATGTCTGAGAAGAGGAATCAAGAATTGAAGAAATGGTTAAATCAAGAAGTCAATCATACTTCGTTCCAAAACCAAGTCTTAGAGTTAAGATTGTGAATTGAGTGACAAGTCTTAAGAAGGTTTATAACATTCATCAAATGTGAAATTTGAAAAAGTTTTCTTATTCTTGCACAATTGGAAAGTTGTGATGTCTTGGATAAGACAAAGACCAACTAGGGCCAATGTAGTGAAGTGTTTTGTCTTGATAAAAACTACACTAACTCTTGAATATTTGTTTGTCGAGAAATGTTTATTGACAAAAGAATCTTATATGTCAAGGAGTCAGTGGGAGTCTTAATGGTCTTGAAAAGTTTCAAGAACTAATCGAGAATAAACCTTATCGATCATCACTAGCACACGACTTGAGGTTTACAACCTATCGTGTTGACATTATTTTGTTTCTGTGCCATTCCAATTAAGTTAATTATGCATGTGAGTTCTATGAGTTCTCATTTGAACGCATAAAAGGCAAGCACCTTGATCAATGAAAAGTACGTTGATATGAAAGGGTGAGCTGCTTAACTACTTGGAAGACATGGTGGGCACTCGTGTTACCATAAGGCAAGAAATCAAGATTGAGAAAGTTCGGTCCATATGAGTTTGGATTTGTCGCAAACTTTGGTTTTGACAAATTCGCATGGATAGGAACACATACACCATTAAAATCTAAGTGTCATAAGATTCCCTCCTTCATGAAAATGACTGTGAGGAAATGCTTTCACTAAGAGAGATTTTAAGAAGATAGTGATTGTGAAATTGTATTCTCGAATTCGATTATGGTTACGGCATCCCTTTCCATAATTCGATTGTGAGATTTGGCAATTAGTCTAGATTGTTTAGACACACATATGAGCTATCTAAGGCAAAGGTGTATAAGTTTAAGAAGCTTAGATAAAGGATTATCAAAGCATTAGGTATTAGAAATATGAACTTCAGAAATTCAATAAGTAATGTTTTCTGGAAGTTCAGTTGTTTTCTAAAACATGTCAAAGCTAGTGGGAGCATAAGTGTTATGCTCATACGATAATAATCATCATGATTGTGGGAGCATAAATGTTGTGCTTGTATGATTATTAAGGCAAGTATTGCAAGTTAGCAATATTAATTATAGAAAACAATAGTTATACTTTACAAGGTCGTAAGGGTTGGAAAGTTGTTTTGCTATAATTAAGGGAGAGAATATTGTATTTCGTTTCAATATCTAAAGCTTAGATTGAGAAATTTTAATAAAATTAGTCAAAGGATACATAGTGTGTTCTTAAATTTCGATTATGATTACGGCATCCCTCTTCATAGTTCGAATTGTAAGAACGAGACACATAAAATATTATGGCAAAAGATGGATAAAGCATCATATCTTTATGTAAGACATTATGCATCGTGTTCCATATGCTTCGGGTATAGGATCGATTGCAAGTGCTATAATATTTGACCATTCTAAAATTTTCAAAATGTCTGGCGCATTTAGAGGGAAAAAGGACTAGAATCGGTTTTGACTAAAATAATTAAACAACTATCAAAGGACGATCCAAAGCTCGCTGAGGATTGGTCGCTTGTGAGTAGTTGGAAGTATGGTATTGGATGACATTAATATGAATAGATAAGATTCTATTAAGAATAAATTGTCATATGCCAAATATGGAAATGTTTCCATATTGGGAGTTGGATATTAAGAATCTATGTCTAGATTAGAAACTTTTATGCAAGAAGGATGTTCAAAGGAATGTACTTTGAGTGAGAGACATCATATCTATAGAATTGTTTCTGATAGAGATTGGCCAAGTCTTGATGATTTTGAGCTATGACTTTACGAAAGAATCATTGCATAAAATGTTAGAATCTAGCATAAGTAACAAGAATTTGATATTCTTATACTTATGAAAAGGATTGGAAGTTGTATGATTGGAAATGTGTTCATTTGACAAAGAAAGGACCGTAGGTAAACATTGTGTGCATGCTGAGAGCATGGGACAAGTGTAGTAATAATTCAAGTAAGAAGTTGATTACCCGAAACTACAAATAATGAGTAATCGATATGGTGATAAATAAAAGGTGTTTTATTTATACTCAAAGGTTTGGGACCATATAGGATTAGTATTATTCTTGTGTTTCACTTTGCATGTTTTGACTTCCTGAATAATTAAATTGGTTCAGAACAATCAAATTATTCGAACGGACCACAGTCGTTCATATGTTGGAAGTAGGTATGAATGAAGACTGTCGTGAATTGGTGTGTGGATTGTCTAAAGTGTATTAGACATAAGCAAATGTTTGCTGCAACGTTCATGAGTGCTTATGAATATGATTTGAGCATTGGATTAAAACCCATGCTCACTTGGATCACTTCATGGATTTTATCACGAGTGATTGGTGAGACGATAATATCTTATATTCTTGAAACCGAGATGTGTGAGTTGTATCTTACGAGTCGGTTACACATTGATAATATGTAAACGCACCAGTAACTTGGTGTTATAAAACATATTGTTGTGTGTGATTCGGTGAGTGAGTGCAAGCGAGCATTGAGTCGAAGTTTATCCGTTCCTTTTATCCAAAGTAGGGTGAAAGCGATATCTGTGGGCCCCTCGATGATTTAGTGATGACAACTAAGCGCTTGGCCAAGCCGGGACTAATTTGATGTGTTTAATTGTAGTCTGTTGTCAGTCGTCATAAATCGGAAATCGGGAAACAACACATAGACAGAGAGAATGATTTAAATCCATGTCTCAGTCTATACGATATCTAGAATGGAGGAATATATGATCCCTTATCTAAAGGACGCGTATCTGAAAAGATCAGAGTTGACAGCGGCTTTGGAAAGCTACGATTGCAGATCAGGATCTGAAGTCATACGCAGAATAGTTATTAGACTTATCTAAGTGGGAGACTGTTGGATTAGTGTCTAAGTCCATAACCATTTTGGTATGTACCTGACCCGATGGTGCATGGTCCTTTTGGGTTGCCTTCACCAAAGCAACTTGATAGGATGAATTATGGAGAGAAAGGATTAAATATGATTTATTAATATATTATGAGAATAATATATTAAAGGAGAAATCATATTGTTTAATTAATATTAGTCAAGAATTAATTGGTAATTAGTTTTGTGGCTAAAAGAGATTAATTAAACTTAAGGGACTAGAACTGTCAATTGTATGATAGTTGAATATTGAGCTAATGGACTACATATTAAAGGGATGGACGAATTCTATGGGGAAACCCATTAGAAATCGTCCTAGGCCTTTAAGGAAGGAGTCAATGGGTTGCTTAGGGCTTAAGCATCCAAATTAGGGTTTCCTTGTTTGATAACCCTAATAGTCTCTCTATTTAAAGGACCCTTATGGCTCAAAAACGTGGTGAACTTGTTGATTAGGGTTTTCCACACGTTTTGGTAGCCTCCTTCTCTTCTCTTCTTCATCCTCTTGCTCTTGGTGTTTGTGAGCCATTAGAGGAGTGACACTTGTGACTCTAAGCTTTCTAAAGTCATTACAAGAAGGATTTGAGATTGTTACTGATACATAACAATCAAGGTATGATCTAAACCCTCATTCATATGTTATATTGATTATCATATACTAGATCTAGGGTTTAAAGTCTTGGATGAATTGCATGTACAATAGAGAAACCTAGATCCAAGCATTAGGGTTTGTATGAGCACATAGGATGTTCTTATGGCCTAAACCCATTAACATTTGCCTCCTCTTTACCCCCACAACATCATCACCTATGTTGTTATCATTTCCTTCTTCCTCTTCACCACATAATTCAGACAGAAAATCATCAGCCTCTGTTATGTTCATAGTGACTTCATCATCATTAAAGTCCATCTCCACATCTCTAAGGTTTTCAATTTCGTCATCATTTTCACCACCATCAATGCATGAATCGTCACCATCTTCTTCCTCTTCTATCTCAGAGCCAAATCGGTCCTCTATTCCTTGACCATCACGATCCACATAAAGGGAAACTATACCATCGGTCTCATAAACATCAAAAATGAAAGAAGCATAGCCTCCATCATTAACAATAGCAGCTATCCCAGATAATAAGGGCTTATCTGGCTTATAGTAGTATAACTTCTTTATACTTTCTTGCATGAACCGTTCGAGAAAGGTGATACATTCATAGTATGTCATTCCAGAAAAATCATGATCATCGAATGTGAATTTCATACCAGGTTCATACGAGAAAGGATTTCGAAGAAATACACCTTTGAAGTTGAGCTCCACTACAGGGTAGATTCCATTAGGGTTTGGCGTCGAGGATGACATTGTCGGTTGGTTGTCTGATCACTGACTTCGATCGGAGAAAACGTGTTGGAACCCTAGTTTTTTTTGCTCTTTGTCACTAAGAAATGAGAAAAATGAAGAACGAAGAAGAAGAGTTTAGTGGTGTCTGAATAAATGTGATCATTTTGACTTTGTTTTCATACGTGGATGAGGTAAGATAAGAAATCTTATTTAATATAATGTCGAGTAAGAAATACAACCGGTTGCTCTGTTTACCGGGTGAATAAGGGTGTAATTAGCCGGTATTTTACTAACATTAAGGACCAATTTAACACAAAAAAACATGAGTGACTAAATGTGCAAATTGTCAAAACATTGTTGTGCTACAGTGCCAAAAACTCTTAGGTGAATTTTACAAGTTTTAATTTGTATTACAGAGTTTTGTTTAATTGAAAAATTTAATGCGCTTTTGATTAATACAATTTTGGTAAATATGTGTTTGGTTCGTTGTACAGTATAAACAAATTAACATTGTTATTAATCTTGCCTTCGGACGTATGAACCGATCTTGTTGATCATTATATAAAGCTCGTGTCCCACGATGGGAGCCTAAGGTTGATGAATGAATTTTTATACAAGAGGTCAAACGCTCAAATTTTGACATATCAAAATATTATTAGTGTTCCGCGATTAACATCTCATATTATTTTTAGAATAAGTTAACATGAACTGTTTAAATAATACAGTTTATTATTTTTTATATTAAAAAATCTTTTGAACCGTCTCTATTTATGTATTGGAATTTGAATATGATATACTCCAGATAGCCACTAGAAGACATCTAATTATACATGTTCATATTCATGTTTATAAAATAATAAGGTCAACTCTTCAATACATGGTTAGCAAAAATAATTCAAAAATCAAAAGTAATGCCTTTTTAGTTAAAACAAATTAATAGTGGATAGTGGAGTCATACATGGAGAGAAAACCAAGGAGTTAAGTTCAAAACCCTGATATCTTTGACCATTGCAGTCTCCTTCCACCCACTTTAACTCCGCAAGTTTCGGCACTTGTGCTTCCCGCGTCATTTAGCTTTTGTTACCGGTATTATTTCCAAATGGGAGAAAAAAAATGAATGACAACAGAATAAAGTTATTATCCATCCCTTTTAAATTACAAAGCATAAAGATGAAACTGGTATTTATATTATATTATTTTCAAGTCTAGTGAAAAAGAGCTTATTCGGCAAATGACCAAAATATAGGGTGACTTTAAAGAAAATGACCATAAAAATGAAGATTTCAGAAAATGACCACAAGTTCCGCAGAGGGGTTCTGCGGAACCATAAACACCTCTGCGGACTGTGAACACCTCTGCAGATCTTGGTTTTTTTAACTTTTTTTTCCTTTTTTCGTTTTTTTTTTTGTTTTCGTTTATTAATATTATTTTTTTTAATCACATAAGGTATTATGTGATTATTATGTAAAAAAATTTGTTTTTGTTTTTCCTTTTTCTTATTTAATTACCCGTTTATAAAAGTTGTGTGTTTAATAAAATTATACAAATATTTTATGTTTTTTATAAAATACACACACCGGTATTCTGAATAATAAACATACTTTAAGTAAGTTACAAAACATACTTTAGAAAACATAAACATACAACCTTCATAATAAACATACTTTGAAATAAACTTCATTGAAGGCTCTGCGGATCATCTACGGCTCTGCGGAATCTTTGTTTTTTGATTTTTTTTAATTTTTATTTTATTTTTCGTTTTTTTTTTGCGTTCATTTTCGTTTATTAATATAATTTTTTTTTTAAAATACACTAATACCTTATGTGATTATTATGTAAAAAATTCTACAAAAAATGTTAAAAATAATGAAATGTTTTATGTAATACGTTTGCCTCTGAGGAACCGAAACACTTCTGAGGAAACGAAAAAACGAAAAAATAAAAATTAAAAAACTGAAGATCCGCAGAGGTGTTTCGGTTCCTCAGTAGCAAACGTATTACATAAAACATTTCATTATTTTTATTTTTTTTTTGTCAATTTTTTACATAATAATCATATAACTTATTAGTGTATTTAAAAAAATATTAATAAACGAAAATGAACGCAAAAAAAATGAAAAAACAAAAAAAAAAATTAAAAAAATCAAAAAACAAAGATTTCGCAAAGCTGTAGAGGATCTGCAGAGACTTTAATGAAGTTTATTTTAAAGTATGTTTATTATGAAGGTTGTATGTTTATGTTTTCTAAAGTATGTTTTGTAACCTACTTAAAGTATGCTTATTATTCAGAATACTGATGTGTGTAATTTTATAAAAAGCATAAAATATTTGTATAATTTTTATTAAACACACGGCATTTATAAACGGGTAATTAAATAATAAAAAGAAAAAACGAAAACAATTTTTTTTACATAATAATCACATAATACCTTATGTGACTAAAAAAAATAATATTAATAAACGAAAACAAAAAAAAATAAAACGAAAAAATGAAAAAAACCAAGATCCGCAGAGGTGTTCACATTCTGCAGAGGTGTTTATGGTTCTGCAGAACCCCCTCTGCGGAACCTGTGGTCATTTTCTGAAATCTCCATTTTTGTGGTCAATTTCTTCAAAGTCACCCTACATTTTGGTCATTTGCCGAATAATCTCAGTGAAAAATGATGAAATATAGATTTGGCGGGGTGAGCTCACTTTTCCATCTTATTGTACATTCGTACAGGGGCGGATTTAGAATTTTAAAATGTTAAAGGGTATTTTTTTATCAAAGAAACAACTTCAAGGGAGAATATATATATATATATATATATATATATATATATATATATATATATATATATATATATATATATATCCCCTTACTCCCTTCTTACATCCGTCCATGCATCCGTACCTCATATCGGCTCAAGCAACCTATCATATTAAGGAAAGTTGATTTTCTTGTTTAGACCGGAGGGTATGTGCCGGTTATTGGGCGTTATAGCCGACGTAGACAAGGCATAACTCTATTACCACGACTTGAACACTGACCCTGGTACCGTTATGGAATCTCTCGTTGTCACGCCAACGCCTTGCAACGCGTACTAAAAATTGATTTGGTCCACTTTGACCATATTAACGGTCATATTTTCAAAATAATAATAATAATAATAACGACGACGACGATAATAATAATAATATTAATTTTTATTACCTATAAATACATAACTTTTTCCTTAAACTCACCAACATCATTCTTTTCTTTATATCCTCGTCACTATGATGTACGAGTATTGCACGAATGTGCTACTACAACCAGATCGAGCTCCTCTACCAACAAGATGCACGATGTTAAATAGAAATCGCGAAGGACACCAACGTCTAGTTCACGATTATTTTGTGGATACCATCCGAGCGATTTCAAAAGAATATTTCATTTGCGAAAAAATATGTTTGTATGGATAACCAACGCCTTGAAAATCATGTATCGTTTCTTTCAATTTTGTAATTCATAAATGTAGCTTTAAGATAAAATAAATACATTTTTTTACCTGATAAATATATGTTTATGTATGAATTTTCCAAATGAGATATGATGCTAAAAGATAAGAGAGGATTCATAGGGTTGTAGAAATGTGTTGCGGCAATTAAGTTGATGACTATGGGGGAGTTGCATGATTCTATTGACGACTGTATGAGAATGTTTGAGAGAACTGCAAGAGAAAGTTTGTATACATTGACAATATGTGTTGTTAAAACCATTGATGACGTTTATTTGCGGAAACTTTCGTTGAATGATATGCAACAACTATATGTGTCACATGAGGAAGACATGGTTTTGCGGGTAAGCTTGTAAGTATTGATTGCACACACTTGAAATGGAGAAATTGTCATGTGTCGCAGAAAGGTCAATATGCAAGTAGTTATCATGGAGCACCTTCGTTGGTATAAAGGTTGTTGCTTGTCACACCCCACTAAAGCGGAAACACGAGGTGCAATAGAACAAAGGGTCGCATAGCAAAAGTTAAAAGACAACACCAACCATAGTATTGAAAACATTACAATTTACAATGGGTTTGAACAACTTTTAAAAGAAATTACAATGTAATTGAAAAACAACACATGCGAATACTCCTACAAGTGATGTGTCCCAAAGTGCCATCTTATAGACGAGTTCATGAAAAAGCATGTAAAATGAGCGGTCGACTACCGAAGTAGTTGGTGAGATCACAAGTTTACAAAAATAGTAGTATACAATTCGTAATCAGAGTTTTAATAGAAGTTTCCATAAATGGAAGTTCGTTGCTGAAATGAGTAAATAGGTTCACTGCTACAAAGAGCAAACAAGTTTGTTGCTACAAGGAGCAAACAAGTTCATTGCTAAGACAAGTAAATACGTTTCTAGTAATAAAAGTTCATTGCTATAATGAGAAACAAAGTTTGTTGCTATAATAAGTAATCTAGTTTGTACGTATATGAGCAAACAATGAGTTCACAACCAAGCCTATGACTGATGCCCTATCAAGATCTATGCTTATCGTTCCATAGATGAATATGGTATCATGCACTCAAGCAATCAGGCGAGTGAGGAGTTGTCAGTTCCTAATAACGCTATTCATAATGGCCATTGGCTCAAAGAGTTAATGGTTGGAGTAAAGTATAAGAGAGTTAAGACGATAAGGCCTCATGTTTCAAGTTGCATACAAATACATCGCAAAATATAGCAATCAAGTTTGATACAATTCAATATAGATACATCAAACATAAATAGTTATGACATGCTTTTCCACCCCAAAACATTTAAAACCCGAAAATAAGGGGAGGTGTGAATACTCACAATGCCTTGAGATAATGCAAATGGTGCCTTGAACTACGCTCTACTTGTACCGTTATCGATTCCTACAACGATGTTACATACTAATGAGTCTCTAATCGAAATCTAATACTAGTATACTTACTACTACAATAGAATTATGCCAATATTGTGTCAAAATTTAATATTCTTAAGTAACAAACATTTTTCTGTAAAATTTAGATTTCGA